CAAATGATAGAAAAAATCTTTGCTACTTACCGTTCGGCCGGCCTCGTTATTGTGTAGGTTCATCTTCTCGCGGAGATTCCTTCCGCGTTCGCCAGTGTCGACAAACTCTCTAGAGAATCTGAAGCCGTAGCCGATGTTGTCCGAGCATCCTCCCCATTCCCAGTCACGGACGCCCGAGGGTCCGCGCGACTGGTGCGAATAATCACAGGAACAAGACTGGATGCTACCCTCGCTGCAGGCTCGCGCTATACTGTGCGTCACCGCGGCGCTCGTTATCGCATAAATGAATGCGGTTTCTCTGCAGCCTGAAACATGAAGAAACGCAATGTTCCCTAATAACTTTATCGTTATTCTCAGAAATGATTGAAACAATGAATATATACGTTGACCGGGCGTCCATCATGGTTCACTCGGGCTATGGCTCATGCCAATCGGGCTTTTATAGGTGGACGGCGGACTATGAGAGCTAATTGCTCGATTAATTCACGATAGGATGCCTCGTGGGTGGAGTACTTTGCGCATTTTGCGAAGCCTCGCGCACTATCGTTCGTACTCTAATGCGCGCGCGTATGCAAGTTCGATGGAATATAACGTTTTACAGTCTTATCTGTCTGCTTCGTTAAAATCCCGAAGCAAAAGATGGAAAATTTTATCGCCATATTCTAATGAACGTAGAGCGGGTGTCGTGGTGGCGGGGGGGGGGGCCGTTTCCTTTGGGCACGGCACGGTTTCTTGAACGTGAAATTTCGCGTTAAACTCTCCAATACGCGCGCATTTGTATGCTCAAGACCACGTCGCCCCGAGACGCATTATGTATTTTTCGAGATAAAGAGGTGACTCCCTTGTCATCCGCACGCTCGGTGTCCTCCTCCTCTCCGTCGCCCGTCCCGCCGCGGACCGCTCCCTCCTCGGCCCACCGGCCGTCGGCGGATCCCTGGTCGCGGCAGGTCCGCGCGCGCGCACCCGCACGCACATAACTAGGCGTATTGCCGAGGTGGGCACGAAGGACCGCGATACGAAGCCGTATGACGACTGTGACCCGTGTCGTACGTGAGGCCAGGCCGCTCTGCTCTTCATTGGCAAAAGGAGCAAGAGCAGTGGGAACGGCGAAGCGCGAGCCAAACGTGTTTTGTTGCGGTGATGGCGGTGGTGGCGGTGACAGCGGCGGCAGCGGCGGTGGCAGCGGCGGCAGCGGTGGCAGCGACGGACGACGAACGCGCGAGGCAAGTGTCAGTTTCGATAGGAGATTAAATTATTTCGTTCGAGGAAGCGAGCTCCCGGAAAAAGGAAGTTGCGAGCAAATATCGAGAGCGAGAGCCGCGTGCCGGTTCTTACCACCAACTGCGTCAGTTCAATTCGCTTGAACGTAAGGCGTTTTCTCCCACTCGCCTCATTGCGCACTTTTATCCGAGCAGTTATTACTTATGATTCATAATTATCTATTTAGGGAACAATATCTCAGCCCGACGCATCTCGACGCATCTTCTTACCCAGTTTTCAACTTCAACTTAGGATACAAGTGACGCGTGTTTTAACGAGCAATATAAAACTTAGGTTGTAATTGGAGTTCTAATATGAATAATTTATCCCCAATGGTTGATGGAATTAGCAATTAGTCGAGATGTTATGAGGTTTGTAGTAAAGTTAGCCAATAAATAAAGCGTTGAGGCAATAATAACAGAACGAACGTTAACTTCTTTTTTTCAAGTTGGATTTATAAATAACGAGAATATAGTATTCTAAATGAAAAAGTAAACCCTACATAAGCTCATATCAATGAATAGTGGTAATCATTAAATTAAGAAAAAAAATTGATTTTACTCGACGTTGTTCGTGTGTTATTGTTCACACTTCTTATGGATATTAAACTAGGATTGGCCGCAGCTCGTCTCTCCGACTCCGCACACGCGCGAACGAAAATCAAATTTCTTTCCGCATCGCGCTCATAAAATAAAAACAATGCGAGCTGCCTGGCTTTACGACACTTTCGGGGGTCAGGAGAGAACGGAAGCGGAGGGCGGAGTGGAGCAAAGGTGGGCGCGCGAGCGCCTCCGGGGCGCAGCACAAAGGTGCCGATAGACACCTGCGCGTGCTTTATGCAGATAAGCCCCGTGGCGCGGGAGGAGGTGGCGGCGGAGGAGGAGGGAAGAGGCGCGCACGCTCTCGCTTTTGGGTCATCGCTGCGGCGCACAGGTTAAGGTCACCTGCATTCCCTCTTGCTTCTTCACCTGTGGCTCGCCAAGCGCACGCCTCCAGGTAAAGATTTTGCACGCGGCGAATTGAGACGTTCCTTTCCTACTCCTACTACCGAGTCCTTATAGCCTCCCACGCGCGAGACTGGGAAAGAATAAGTGAGAGGAAAGGAGAGAGAGAGAGAGAGAGAGAGAGAGAGTGAGAGAGTGAGAGAGCGGCGGGATTGTGTTATAAGTAATCTGTGCGGACCACCGTGAGAGTTTCTCCCGAGGGTTTCCTGTTTCATTTGTTTTTTCAGCAATGAATTAGCAATTTTGCAGTTTCGCAAGGGACGTAGGGCGACTTTCTTTTTTGCCGGATGCATTTGGTATATGTAGTACGAAAAAAATTTCGTAAATTATCCGTCGATGATACTAGCCCAGCTCAAGCGGAGATTTCAATTTTGATTCGTTTTAATGAGTTGTCGAGACGAGTTCGGCCGTAATCTTAAATACTTCAAATACTTTAATTATTGTAGTAAAATGATGTTTTTATAGTATCAGTGAAACAGAAAAACAGAGTCGTTAGAGAATACAACGAAGCCAGTGTCTTTAATGTCAAATAACAATATGTGTGCGCGCGTGTGTGTATGTGTGTATGTTTGTGTGTGTATGTGTGTGTATGTTTGTGCGTGCGTGCGTGCGTGTATACGTACTCTTTGTCTCATTCCATGAAATATTAGAGAACGAATAGGAAAAGTCGGGCAAAGGCAATAAAGATTTGGAATAAATTATTTCAATTCCGATTAAATTTAAACCTAATGAAATTCTAAAGACGTTCGGTAGATTTCTTGGTAAGTTTGAAAATTTAAAAAGTTGAGGAAATATAGGAGAATGAAAAAGTGCGACTGTATAGAAAATCAAGACGTCAAAAAAGCACATTTTGAAGATACATTCGGGAAGATGATAGAGCATATCGAATTTCGTAGTCGAGATTTGAAATTCGTCACAAGGTGGCATTTTGACGGTGGCTCTCGTACATGGAAAGCTTCTTTTTCTTTTAGCCTCGAGCAATAGATAGATTGAGTCTAAACGAAGTGAAAGACATGAGAAGAATAAAAGAGAAAAGATGGAGAAAGAAGCCGTAACGACGAGTGGATAGCATGTGGGGGGGGGGTAAAGGCAGTGACGTCGAGGTGAGCATTTTTCCTTAATCCCTAAATAAACGAGGACAGGTCAGAGAGGAAGTAGAAATTCCTATAGGCCACTGTAAGAAAGAGAGCTGAGATTTATACCGTTCCACTCGGTTATCTCTACGTCCCCTGCCTCCCCCCTCCTTCCGCCCTTCGCAAACTCCTTCTCCTCCCACTCCTCTTCTTGCCCTCGTGTACGTATACATACTCTTACTTTCCGTTTCATCAGCCCTTCTTTACTGACTCTTCATCTTATTATACCGTGGTTGGTCTCTATCCCTTAAATTTCATTGGTTCCAGATATTATTTCTCATCATCATCGACGAGCGCAACGAAACAACTCACTGAGACGTTGGCTACAAATATCGAAAGAAGGGAGAAGACAGAAGACTACATTGGCTTTTGTGACCTTCCAATTGAAATGAAAAAATGTCAAATCTAAGACTTCCCAAATGGTAGAAGCTACACTACACGGTGGGCCTTACGGACGTGGGTCCCTTCGTATTTATACATTTATGTTACTAGTTAGAAGAAAGCTACGTCGACACTGACATTTTTCGAGTTAATTCGGTCATCAACTAGTCGAGCAGAAAGAAACTTATTAACTTTGATGAGGTTTTGCGGATACTTATTATTATTATGGTCTCTATGCTTTCACTGGTATTTGCTTTACAACTTCTTTTAGAAATTTTATTGAAGTACATGTGAATAATAAGTAAGGCGATAATAGTATTTGAGATTGGCTATTTTGGAATTGTAAAAACGTGCTTGAAAAAGTTTGCTGTTGATATATGTTCAGGTTATTAAAAGAATTCTCGGAAAATATTATTGGAAAATTTGTAGGATTAGATAATATTCATCAGTAAACGTGTTTATCTTCTTTCCTCTCCTTCTGTATTGTTATCCTTGCGAAACAGGTGGGAAACAGCTTATACATCCTTACCAATAACTACTAGTGGATAGGTTTGCGTTTAAAGGAGGAAAAAGGAAAAGCAAATGTACTCTTACTAATAAATGTAAGAGCGACAGCGAGCAAACAGTAATCTCCGTTTATTATTTTACACTCGGCGGTTATGTATAAAAAAAATTTGCGGCTGACCGACGGGCAGATAAAGCACGGAGCATGGACTGCGTGTCTCGGGACAGGTGTAACGGAATATTGCGGAGAGCGAGTTATTTCCTCTCGCTTGTTCGCTCTTATATTTGCTCGACGTCCTGGGACTCTGCGTTTGCCCAGCCTGATAAAGCGCCAAGTATTTATTGTTCCTAACCTCCGCTTGTTCAAACAGACTCGGGATTATTGAGAGTCGGTTCCTCTCTCACTCACTCACTCACTCACTCACTCACTCACTCACTCACTCACTTTCGGAAAAATAAGGAAGAAGCCTCGCTGTTTTTGTTCCCATGAAAAGATCCGATAACGATTATTCTCCATCGCCCCCCCCCCCCCCCCCCCTCTCTCTCTCTCTCTCTCTCGCTCTCTCTCTCTCTAGCATGGGAGAGATAAGCTCGACCGCTCCCTTTCAACTCCACTATATCGTAGCGCGTGTGCAATGAGACGCCGGGCTTTGTTTGATCACCATAAAATGCCAGTCGTAAGAGAATGTAGCGAAACAATGAGCTGCAAAACATTTAATATCGATCACGTTTCGATACCCGCTCCTGTGAATTCTCAATTTCCATCATATTTCATGCACGGACAATTATATCCATCATATCTCTATATGTTTATATTATTATCCCCTGAGCTGTAATGTAAACAAACTTGATGCATGAATTTCCAATTATTGAATAGCCAATTTATTGTAAACGAAGCAGGAAATCCTACACTTTAATAATGCAATTAATGCAAGCAACGAGAATAGTAAAGAATAATCTAAAAACTAAATGAGTAGACAGGGATGCATAAATTGTGCCCAAGAAAATAGTTAAGTCAGTTTT